CTGTGTGTCCTGGAAAACGCCGAGAGCAGTGGGTGGCAACATTCTGCAATTAATTTGGAAATCTAATCCAAGAGGATACCTTTCCTAATTTCACAGAGTAGGAATGCCAAACAGACACACACTGAAACTGCCCCGTGGCGTCATGTGTGCAATCTGAACTGAGTTGCACATCTCGTCACACAGAAGCTTATGGCCACGTTTACGTCTCCACCACAACACCGCAGCCGGGCCGTTCTTCAGGACGTGGGCGAAGAGATTTGTGCTGAGCTGTCTCAGTGTATAAAAATCACGGGTGACAAATTATCACACGAGGAGACAACCACGCCTGTGTGTCATAGGGATGAACATCAAAAGCTGACAGCAAATAGTTTACAGATCCACCCATAAAAACAAACAGGCCTACAAGTGCTTTCACTGAATACTTAATGTCGGCTGACGAGGGATTGTTTAGAATCGAGGTCGACGTCTGATGAAGGAATAATGTGACTCGTGTTGGTGAAGTATTAGCGTGATGAGTAACAGAGCCCTCAGATCTTCACACTAATGAATCCAGTGTGATCTGTCCTAACCCAGCGCCATCTGTAAACTGTTAATGTGCCTTTTCTTTTTTGTTAATGACATTTTAAAGTGGACGACTTAAAGATGAAACCAACTGCCAGCCTGAATTTATCGGTCGGCACGGAGACGCTGCATGAAGATAAATGCACGGGAATTATTTTTAGTTCCCTTTACATCCTGTCCATCTTTCCAAGCAGGAGAAAGAGAAATCCATAAACAGTGATGTTGTGCTGAGAAAATGAAGAGTATTCGTACACACCCACACTGACACAAAGTAATCACACAAACTCAGATTTTTGCACTGGTCTGAATTTGCTGCTAACGCTATTATGTGGCCTGGCTTAGTGCTAATTGGTTCCTGGCGGTGTGCTGGAGCTGTGTGTCACCCGTACTGGTTTGAACATCGCCCAGGGCTGCGGATATACTGGGCCCGCTCAGACATCACACACATACTTGGACGTTCACACACAAAGCACTGTCAAGCATACAGGAACTTGTCCAAAGGCTATAAGAACAGTGTCCAGTGTGTCCAGTGTGTGCGTGTTTGTGCAAGTTAGAAACGCCTTCAATAACCTCACCCAGACAGACCTAGATCTCACACCCTCAGGGTCTGCTAAGCCTCTAAATCCTCTGTGATCCCCCCAATATCCCCAAATCATCTACACACACACACACACCTTCCTACATCACTTTGAGGAACCTCTCAGGAAGCTCTCGGCTTTCACATGCTTTCCTTTTCCCATTCTTGCCACATCCATCCAACATATTATTGGTAGGCAAAGGAGCAGTTATAGCAGAGATGGGATCTTTTCTTCCTGCTCCCACACAGCAAAAGGCCCCACAGGCACGTAATACCAAAGAGAGTGTGTGAATCAAGACTTATATCACCCTATCAGGGCTGCGTTGTCCTAAAATGATTTAGCTGATCTCTATCTCTGATATTCTGGTTCATTCTCTATTTTGTTTTTCTATCTTTGTGTCTGCAGGGTGACTCTATATGACTACCAGGCTCTATGCTGGGTCTATTCAGAGAGTAGCGACAGTGGACGCACGCTGTTGGACGTGAGCCCTGCAAATGTTTTGAAGCCTCTTTGTTTGTAATCAATGCCTACATGTGTCTGATATCTGTGTCTTCTCTGTAGCCCTACTTCGCTTTCTTCTCAGCTGTGAAGTGGATTCTCACTGAGCTTGTCATGTAAGACTTTGTGTGCATGTCTGTTTCTAATAACAGACGTTTGCTGCATGTATGTCCTTTTTAGATTAAACGTGTGTTTGTGAGTACGAACTGTATGTTTGTTTACGAGTGTCTCCACACGCACGTTGACATGATCCTCGGTGATCATGAGCAGTAATGGCTACCTGATGTTTCCTGTGGTGCCACGTTGTGGTTTTGGAGTCTTCCTGGGTGGTCTGTTGTTGCCTCAGTGCATCATGGGAGGATTGATCTGTCAGTGTTCATTCTACAGTCTGTCATAGTGAAGACGTGTTTTTGTGTTTACATTTTTGTTCTTCTGCTGAACCGATGTCACTGCGTAGAAATGAGCACAAACCACATTAAACTCTATAATGTGCATGAATATTGTAAGTGTTCATTTTCAGTTCATGCTAATGTGCTGTTCTCTAAAATATAGTCTTTTATAGAGTTCAGATTAAATTGTAATGGAAACTGAACATGAAAAGAGGTTGTCTGTAGATATTTATTTACTTTCACTTTTAAAGTTATAATTTGCAGAATTACACAATTTAACGCTCTCTGCTGTGCAGAGAAACCATTTAGTATGCAGTACATATTATATTACACAGACATACAGGTTATATAAGCATGTGTTGGATATGATTATCGCTGATGTCATCTCCCTCTTTAGATTCCTGGTTGAGTTCAACTTGTACAGCTGGTGGTACTCTGACCTCACCGCTAAAGGTAAGAACGATCTCTCTGGGATGTGCTTGATCTCCGGCTCCATCTAAACAGCACTCACACATGCACATGCACTGTACCGCTGTCTCAGTTAGAACAATGTTGGACAAACTGCAATCTTTGTAATGATATATTTTTAAATAAAAAACACTCAAATCTATTATAAACAAATCTGCTGCGTTTTAAAAGAATTCATACAAAATGCAAACTTTAAAATAATTTAGTCAGTAAAAGGTTATTATTATTATTATTATTATTATTATTATAATCATTAATGATTATAATCAAAAGCTAGAAAAATAATTTACTAATCAGCTGACGAGTGGCTCAGAATTTATTTTAAATTTCTGTTGCATATATTTAAACTAATATTGTCACTTAAGCCTGATCATTTGTGATTTTTTATTTGTTTTGAATTTTAAATGTTAAAAAAAAGGATTTGATAATCGAGCAGCTGTTTTAACAGCAACAACAACATATTCTCATCAACATATTAGAGAAAAATCAAACACTTTGTGTAGCAAGGAAAACTGAGTTAAACTACCTCAGACTGTAAAATAGCTTCTTCTGTATCTGAAAAATTCTGAAATGTAGATTTTCTATTTTAATTTTCAGTCTGATCTTTCCTGCCTCACAAAACAGAGAAAAGAGTCGCAGTTAAAAATGCGTCTTTTTCACTGAAAATCCTCCTTTTTTCCTTCCGTTGCTCTTTTCGAAAGAAAAAAACGTGACGCACTGCTTTATACTGATGTTTGAGTTCACAGGGGACAACACTGCATACAGAGTAAACATCCAACGTCCTCACCACCGGCCTCGCGTCTTCATCTTCACCATCTCCCCTCCATTTCCTTTTGGTCTGAGTCAGTGTGACCACTGGAAAAACAGAATAAAGAGGCGCAATCCAAAAGCTAAAAGCAAGAAAAGAGAAAAAAGCAAAACAGACCATTACCTCGAGTGACCTCAGAGTTTTTGTATACATGTCTCTGTACACACAATCTTCTTTGTGCGTCCAGAGGGGTTTTTATGTGATCTTATGATCTGTAAGCTCTTATTGGTGATGGTGCAATTTGGTAACACAAGAAAAAGGTCTCTCACGTGTCACCCAGTCGATCACGTCCTTTTCTCTGGTTGTATTTCATCCCTTTCTCTTTTTTGCTCCGTCGTACTCGCTTCCATGCAATCGCACACATTCTCGTATGATCATTGCCAGGCTATGAATGCTGTGATTCCTCGTGCTTTATGGAGTGTCGGATACCGTTCGCCTGTTTGAAATGAAAGCCTCACTAAGCAGCATCATATTGGAGCATTAATTCTGCCAAAACTAATATGAAAATATTTAGTGTGTGAAACAGGGGGGAGAAAGAACCACAGAATGCTTTCCTTGCACACTTTAATCCTGAATGAAGTGAAGCTGCTCACCAAGCAGTCGAGACAATTTCACAGCTGGCTGGCCTCAGGTCTTAGCGCTTTCTATATCTTTGCACAATAAAGACGCAGGCCTGTGACACACGGCTGAAACACCATCGTTTAGCAGCCGTAACCCAATCTACACAACCTCTCGAGCTGAACTAATCCCAGACGTTTATACATGTAGGCTGCGTTCCTCACATGCATATAGTTTATTTACAGTGCACTCTTTCTCACACACACACAATGAGTCGCGCTGCACTCCTGATTCTTAATAATCAAACCACAGCATCCAAATCACACACAATCACCCACGTTTACAAGCCTCTCTGCACAGATATGCAACGCGCTGCGACTCAGCTTTTAAACCGTTTCATGTTAAAAGAAAACACTACGTTTGGATGATGTCGACCCTTTTTAAAAAAAGGTTTAATGACATTTCAAACCGACCGTTCTGCAGGGTCACTTCAAACCTCTGGGTGGCAGGAAAGTTCAAGCAATGCTGCGAGGACGCCTGGCCTAGATTTACATCGGAAATATTTGCAGCAGGACAAGAGACAGCTCTGGTGCAGAAACGCTGTTTTCTTTCAAACGTGAATATTTACATGGTGTGTTTAGCCGTGTGTTTGCGTAACTCGTTGCGTAGCTATTATTTGATTTTGAAACGGGTGGTTCAAAGTTTCATCTCTGGCTGATTGTCTTCTCTCTTTTCCCACCTCGCAGCTCAGAGGACGGGTCGGACCATGCAGGTACCGTGTGACACAGAGTACCCGGCCTTCATCTCCGAGAGGACCATCAAAGAGAACACCGGCAACATCGACTGCGACGGCTGCATCAAGTATGGGATGCACAGACACATAAACATCAACGATAAGAGCCGCTGGTTATCAGCTGAATGATCCTGTTAGCTCTCATCGTGGCGACATATTTTTGTCTTTGTAATCCTGAATAATGAGAAGCACATTTAAATCATTTGTTGTCTGCTGAAAACGCTTTTATCCAGAGTAATCCATCAGACACACACAGTGAGCGTTTTGAAATACGAGGCATTTAGAGATGAGGGAGAGAGGTGGAAAAAAGGCTTCCTTTAAAAATGGGAAAATGAGTGTGGTCCCCATTAACAATTTGGGCTTTTCTGTCAGGCAATTGTGGGGTGTTCTCTGGATCCCTGCAATGGGCCTTCATTGCTCCCAGCTGTGGAGCTGCCAGGGAGCTCAGAGCGCTGTGTGTGCGTCTCAGTGTGTTTGTGTGTGCGCTGTCGGTGCAGAGGGTCAGCGGGGTATCCTCCACTTTCAGAGCCAGGACTGTGGTGTGGCTGGAGATACAGCGAGACCCTCACATAGAGACCCCCACGCTCCAGAGAAGAGGGTATAATCTGCAGTGATGATGGGATTAGCAGGAACAAGCTGTGTGCTCAGCAACATGCCGCCTTCAAACACATCTTTTTAAAACACGATGAATTTGACAAAGTAAAAAGTTTTTATTTCTCTTATGGAAGTTTATAGCTCATATTTGTATTAGAGGTTATTGGCGATAAACATCTGTTTCAGGTTACAGCCTGACTGAAGCCTTTCTCTCATATTTTCATTGGGACACGTGTGTGTGCTTTATGCTCGAGGAAATATATCCTAAGCTCTCGCCTGCTAAACCTCTCTTTACTGTATTTTGACTCTTTGTGTGGATGTGTGTGTCGGATCTCGTACGTGTGCGCCCTGCTCCCCGATTAGTGTGACACAACGTAAGAAACATCAAGCCCTGGCGAGTGCTCTGGTAACTGAAGTGCCCCAATAAGATGATTTAACCTTTATTAATGCATCTGCAGCTTTTCTAGATGGTAACGTGAGATTCAGGACAAAGAGAGCGTCTCCAGCCGGAGAAGGTCTTCAGTGGGACCATTAGTGACAATAATCCTGGTTGTATATCTTCCAAAGACACATTTTCTCAACCATGAGGGACGATTCACGTCACCAGAAACAGAAAGAAAAGAAAGAAGCTTGCAGTGAGGAGCAGCTTCAGGTGTTCAGTTACAGTAAGACGTTGCTTAATCTGCTGGGATAGTACATGTTTCTTCTTAGGTTTTCTTTTGGGCATTTTTAATTCAGCATGAAAAATGGATTTTAATTCTGCAAATGCATTTAAAATAATTTTAAAGAAATTATAAAGTAATAATAAATAATCTTCCTTTCCAACTTTAGTGCCAGTATCCTCATCATATTTCACATCAACCTACCCAGAGCCCCCCCCCGTCAGATGCATGCAGTGGACTCATGTGTAAAAGGAGAATATTGGAATCACGGTGCTCGTTTTCCCCCTAAAGTAACAGGAGACGTGGAAATAAAACGACAGCATTCCTCTTAAAACTCATCTGTTTGTTGAGATTTTCTTGGAGCGATTTCGACTCGATTAGTACGAGTTAAACTGCACACAGTAATTACTGGTCAGATTTTTCAACTGTGATGACAGATATTTCTGAAAACCACGCTGGACGTGCATTCATGGTTATGCGCTGCAGTTATTAAAACCTTAGAAAAACATTAACATTCTCGGCTGGACAGAAAAACAACATTTATCCGAACCTGTGCAGCGAATGATTTTTCCATGAAATGTACGAGACTGCGTCCAGCTTGGAAACTATAGTGAAGCGTTACGAAATGTATTGTGAACTAGCATTATCTGTTAATATATATATAGCTTTTTGGCCTTTTTTCAGTGATGCAGTGAAGACTGACAGGAAAGAGGAAGGAAAGGGCGGCAAAGGGCCACAGATCAGCCACCTGGGCTGGCCACTCTCAGCCACGCAGCACATGGTCGCCTGCTCATCCAACTAAGCTTGACCCATGAATTAGCATTATGTTATCATAAGTAACAAGATATCATTTAGCCGGGACAGTCGTTCATCCTTTCAGCTGTAGAAAGATGTGTTATGTTTTGTCGAAACTAAAAAGAAGTCAGTCTTTCTCCGACTGCACATGTCGTAATCCTTCCCTACAGTTCTCAGCTTTATCTATCAAACTCTAGCGTTTTGTCTCCCACGTGAGGCTCCACATTGTTTAAAAGGTCGTCCGTTATTTTTCTCAGAGAAACATGTTGGATGTCCTTGTCTGTCTCCCCGCCAGCCAAAAAGTAGAGGCCACAGCGCTATGAGGCAACATTAACAACAAATTGTCTGTTACGCTATCTGTGTTTGTGATACGCATTGCTGTCTGTCACTTGTGTATCTGCGCACATTATACACATCAGTGTGTGTGTGCAGTGTGATGCTCCCTTTCCCAGCTCTGGGTATGTTCAAGGCCAGCAGATGTGCTGTCAGGATGTGTTTAAGTCTTTTCTCCAAAAACACTTGCTCTGCTTTCCATCAGCGGGCAGCGTGGACCGGACCGGCGCTGTGCAGGGGCGAGCACAGATTATTAAACATCAGCAGATCCTAATTCACCCTGATTGGAACTGGTTTGGCGTGTTTGCTGAGTTGGTTTGGTTTGGTTTGGCCGGTCGTGCTGGGATAAGTGTATTAAGTGCAGCGATTGGCACTCCTCAGGGACTGAAGGCTGTTTGTGGTCAGATTAAATTGGTCCTGGTATTGAATAAGTAAAGATGGAGATATTCCTGCACATATTGGGTCTGTGTTGATCTCTCTCCCTCTCTGTCTTTGTTCAAGCTCTCCTTCACAATAGTGAAGTGCGTTTGTGTATACAGTGTTTTTTACATCTGTGTGTGTTCACTCAGTCACACGTGCGTGTTTTCATATGTGTCTGATAAATGCTTCAGAGCGAATTCGATAAATCACCCAGCTGCAGCAAAGAGCACGGCAGAGAAGCAGGAGATCAAGAAAGAAAGGGTGATAGAAAGAAGAGATCATCTTTACGACCTCTCTTCTTAATAAAGCTTATCCACGGCCATAAATCACCGGCCAGGAGGCCGAGGCAAGGCCTGATCTCTC